CAACCCCCCCTCATGGGGTGGGGGGGTCCATCGTGGTGCCCCCCCCCGGAGCTGCAGACGGAGCCGGGGGAAGAGATTTATCGCCTGCAGCAGAGCGAACCAGCGTCTTCTGCTGATGGAGCTCCCCGGGCTGTCAAAGCCGTCGCAATTAAGCGAGTGCCTTGATTGGGAAGTCACGCACGTGAACGAAACGATCTGGAAGGCGTTTGCCGGAGAAAGGAGACTGGAGGGGATGGAGCGAGCGCGGGCGTTCCCGCAGCGACGCCGGCATCTGGACCCCTAGGTAGGGACCCCCGAGCCCTCCAAACCTCGCGGAAAATAAATAAGAAAAAGAAAAAACTTGTGAAACTCCCGGAGCTGCCAAAAGCCACCACCTTGGGCTTCGAGAGCCCGGCTTAACAAACCTGGCACCTGGCAAAGGGGTGCCCCGTGCGGGAGCTGGCGGGGGGGTGATGGGCTCTGCGGGGACGTGGGCGCTCGCAAGCCTGAGCTCGCAGCTGCAAATTGCTTCCAGGGGGTATTTTTAAAAGCACCCGACAGCACAGGGGTAATTGCAGTGCCGGTTGCTGTCGGGGCTGTCGGTCGCGCTGCTGCCGGGGGGTGCTGGGGAGGGTGAGCTCCCTCGGGCGCACAGCTGGGTTTTGGCTGCTCTGGGCAAGGGGTGCTTTGGGTTTTGGCTCTCTGGGGTGCTGGGTGCCCAGTGGGGAGCTCAGCTGGGGGCCGTGGAGCGGGGTAAATGCCCAGCATCTCCCCATCAGCAAGGTCTGATCCCGTTTCACAGCCTCATCCTGCATGGACGTGGGTTTCCCCAGTGGAGCCTAACTGGTCCCAGCCTAAACCCTGCTGACGGGGAGCAGCGAACGCCTGCGAGACTCCCGGCGGGCTCGGCCACGGAAGGGGCGAAGGTACGTGCTGGGCTCCGTGTGGGTCCGCAGCCCCTCCTGCCCCAAGGGCTCGGAGCACGGCGATTATTCATCCCTTGGGAGACGTCTTTAATTCCAGCATCAGCGGCTGGGTCGGAAAATGGGGAACTCTGCACCAGGGTGATGGGATCGGCGGGGGGGGGGGGGGGGGGGGCCCCTCAACAGAGGGCCA